TTTATATCAGGTTAGAGTAGTGATTCTCAACCTTGTGGTCCATGACTCCTTTTGGGTGGATCAAATACTGACCCTGAATGAACCTTTACTTGGAATCTCTCATAGGGTTGTAAGAATTTCCTGAGAATCCTCAACAACATGTCATCAGCACAGATCCTAAATCTGTTTGCCAAATGCAATGGCCTTTCTCCTATCCTGCCTCTTCTATGTTAGTTTGTAGACTGATGTTCCCCTGGTACTTTGAAAAAAAATATTCCCACAGACCACTGGGAGGCAAAGGTGAGCAGTGGTGAGGGTGGCCACACCAGCCTGCTGAGAGGAAATGCTTAAGCAGCAATGAGACAGGCTGAACAAGGCCAGACCACAGGAAGGAGAAGCATGAGAAACAATACGTGAGCCAGACTAGGATACTAGGAAGAGCAGTATAAGCAGCAGTGCAACAGGCCAGTCCAGGCCAGATGGCTAGGAGGAGAAACATGAGCAGTAGCACAGAAGGCCAGGCCAGGCCAGGCTGGGAGAAGAAGCATAAACATCAGCATGAAATGCCAGACTGTGTCAGGCTGTGGGGAGGAGAAGCATGAGCATAGTAGTGTTATTGGGACAGACCACTGGAAAGAAAAGTGGGAGCCGCAATGTAGCAGGCCATGATGATAGCAGTGGCCTCCAGACATTATCTGACCACTGGAGCTTCAGCTTCAACCCTGCCAACACCAGGATGTATGATCATCTGAGTCTTGGGCCCATAAGCACCTAGTGGAGAAATCATCAAAGGCTCTCCTTCACAAACACCTGAAGAAGCAATCAACAGCACCACAGTTCCCAACTACAGCAGTTGGACAAAATGGACCCCCTGAAACACAGACTCTGCCTATTCTGATTGGAGGAAGACATGTGTAGGCAACAGGGTTAGAATACACTCAACAACATAAAGAGCAAGACAGCACCACCGGATACTAGTGGTTCTATAACAGCAAGGCCTGAATATCCCAATGCAGGTGAAGCAGAAGAAAATAACCTTAAAAATAACTTTATAATGATGATTGAAGTCTTTAAATAGGAAATAAAAATTAACTTAAAGAAATGGAGGAAAAGACAAACAAGAAATCAGCAAATTCCTTAAAGAAAACCAAGAAAAAGAAATCAAACAAGTGATAGAAATAGTTCCTGACTTGAAAACTGAAATAGAGTCAATAAAAAATAAACACAAACCAAAGGAAATATGGAGATAGAAAATCTGAGTAAACAATCAGGAACTACAAATGTAAGCATAAACAACAGAATACAAGAGATAGAAGAGAGACTGTTAGGACTTGAAGACATGATAGACTAAACAGATACACCAGACAAAGAAAAATGCTAAATCTAACAAATTCTTAAGACAAAATACCAGGAAATATGGGACACCATAAAAAGACCAAACCTAAAATAACAGGAATTGAAGAAAATTCAGCTCAAAGGCACAGAAAATATATTCAACAAAGTCATAGGAGAATGCTTTCCTAACCTAAAAAAAGTCATACCTAAGAAAATGCAAGAAGCTTAAAGAATACCAAATAGACTGAACCAAAAAGAACATCTCACGTTATATCAAAACCCTAAAAAAAATACAGAATAAAGAAAAAATATTAAGAGCTACAAAGAAAAAAAAACAAGTAACATATAAAGACAGACCTATCAGAATTACACTCAACTACTCAGTAGAAACAAAGGGACTCAGAAGGTCAGGCTAAGAGACCATGGATGCCATACAGACTACTATACCCAGCAAAGCTTTCATTCAACATACATGGAGAAAACAATATATTCCATGATGAGACCAGATTTAGTCAATATCTATCCACAATCCAGCCCTACAGAATGTACTAGAAGGAAATACAAGAAGGAATAAAAGGAACATACCTAAACATAATAAAGGCAATATACAGAAAATCAACAGCCAACCTCAAACGAAATGGTGAGAAACTCAAAGTGATTCTACTGAAATCAGGAACACGAAAGAACACTCTCCATATCTATTCAGTATAGTACTTGAAGTTATAGCTTATAGCTAGAGCAATAAGACAAAAATTGAAGATCAAGGGAATTCAAATTGGAAAAGAAAAGTCAAACTTTCATTGTTTGCTGATAATATTATACAGAAGTGACTCAAAAAATAACACCAGGAATCTCCTACAATTGATAAACACCTTCAGTAATGAAGCAAGATATAAGATTAATTCAAAAAAATTAGTAGCCCTCCTATATATAGATGATAAGTGGTCTGAGAGAGAAATCAGAGAAACATCATCTTTTTTTAAAAAGTTATTTCTTTATATTTTTTGTACGAGTACATTGCATAGACATCTTCAGGCCAGAAGAGGGTGGCAGATCTCATTACAGATGGTTGTGAGCCACTATGTGGGTGCTGGGAATAGAACTCAAATCCTCTGGAAGAGCAGCCAGTGCTCTTAACTGCTAAGCCATCTCTCCAGCCCCCGAGAAACATAATCTTTTACAATAGCTACAAATGACATAAAGTATCTTGGGGTAAGTTTGGCAATGGAAAGACCTGTATGACCAGAATTTCATACCTCAAAAACATTACTCTACTTCATATAGAAAAGCAAAAACCCAGGATAGCCCAAACAATTCAGTATAGTAAAGTAACTTATGGAGGCATCACCATCACTGACTTAAAACTTTAGTATAGAGCTACAGTAATGAAAACCACTTGATATTGGCAGAAAGACAGACAGGAGGACCAATGAAATCAAATTGAAGGCCTGGAAATCAATCTATGTACCTGTGAATATACGATTTTTGACAAAGAAACCAAAATTATACGATGGAAAAAAGAAAGCATCTTCAACAAATGGAGCTGATATGACTGAATATTGACTCAAGTCCAAAGGGATCAAAGGCCTCAACATAAAGCCAGTCACAGTGAACCTTATAGAAGATAAAGTGGGAAGTAGCCTTGAACATATAGGCACAGAAAACCACTTTCTAAATATAACCCCAGAAGCACAGACATACAGAGAAACAATTAATAAATGGGACCTCCTGAAACTAAAAAGCTTCTCTATTGCAAATGACATGGTCAATAAGACTAAAATGTCAGCCTACAGAATAGGAAAAGATATTCAGTAACCCCACATCAGACAAAGGGATGATCTTCAAAAATACATAATGAACTCAAGAGACTAGATATTAAAAAAAAAATCCAATAAAAAATAGAGTACAGACCTAAACAGGGAACTCTCAACAGAGGAATCTCAAATGGCTGAAAGACATTTAAGAAAATATCAACATCCTTAGTCATCAGAGAAATGCAAATCAAAGCAACTCTGAGATACCATGTTACACCTGAAAGAATGGCCAACATCAACAATGCTCATGACCATTTATGCTGGAGAGGATGTGGAGTAAGGGGAACACTTCTGCATTGCTGCTAGGCGTGCAAACTAGTACAATCAGTTTGGAAATCAGTATGACAATTTCTCAGAAAATTTGGAATCATTGTATCTCAAGACCCAGAAATACCACTCTTAGTCATATATCCAAAGGATGGTCAATCATACCACAAGGACATTTGCTCAACCATGTTTATAGCAACATTATTTATAATGCCCAGACCTGGAAACAGTCTCAATGCTACTCAACTGAAGAATGAATAAGGATACATTTACACAATGGAATACTACTCATTGGTTAAAAAAAAACAACAAAAAACAGCATCTTGAACTTGTCAGAAAAATGGATGGAGCTAGAAAAAAACCATACTGAATAAGGTAATCCAGACCCAGAAAGATAGTTATAATATATACTCACTCCTAATTTGCTTTTAGACATAAAGCAAAGAATAACCAGCCTACAATCCCCAACCTTGAAAGAAAGCCTAAGGGAGAAATAAATGGATCTGACTAGGAAGGAGAGAAAGACAAGATCTCCTAAGTCAACTGGGAGAATGTGGGTCAGAGGGGGAGAGCGGAAGGGGAGAGAGTGATGTTTCTCTCTCTATGAGAAACATAGAGGGGTTTCATCTGTCTATGTGTTACTTTCATTGGTTAATAAAGAAACTACCTTGACTTTTGATAGGACAGCAGTTTAGATAGGCAGAATAGACAGAACAGAATGCTGGGAAGAAGGCAATGAGGCAGATGCTAGATCAGACATGCTGAATCTTTCCTGGTAAGCCACGACCTCATGGTGCTACACAGATTATTAAAAATGGGTTAATCAAGATTTAAGAGCTAGCCAAGAAGAGGCTGAGCCTAATGGGCTAGGCAGTATTTAAAAGAATTCAATTTCCGTATAATTATTTTGGGTAAAGCTAGCCAGGCGGTGGGAAGCAGCCCGCTGCTCCTTATGCAACAAGAGAGGAAGAAGGAAAGGGAGTAGGGAATATATATGTAGCCCAATTAAAAATAATAAAAATCAAACTAGATTTCAAAGCCAAGTGTCTATGAACTTGAGATAGATAGTAAAGGATATATGTTTAACTTCAAGATTACCATTCAGGGAAAATAGCAGAATGATACAAATTAAAGGAAGTCATGCAAATAAATCTATTGGAATATAATCTAGCACACAGGGGAGGCTTAGTAAATATCTTGATAAAAATGTATTACCCTCAAAATAAAGAAACAATATCTATATTCTAGTATATATATTTGCTTTTCAGTCAGTGTTTCTTTTTGGTGAGGTTTAGGCAGTGCAGCCCTTCCAAGAAAGTATGTTAAGGAGGTGAGCTGTGATATTAAAAAGACTTGTCACACTTCTAGTTTATTTTCTATGTATGTTTCATGCTCTTCACCGAGGATGTGAGCTCTTAGCTCCCTGATCTGCTTCCTGGGTTCTCAGGCTTGTTGGACTTGTGCCGCTGGAAGAGTAAGACCATAGAAACCCTTTATTCTATAAGTTATTTTCATTGTGCTATGTTGTCATGTCAAGAGATAGTAACTAACACCCCTCCATCCCTCCTAACTTACACTTAGACCTTCTGCTTCTTGTACATGTAGATGGCAGAGGCACCGATTACCAGTAGCATTTTGGGTCCAAGGAACACAGCTACAAGGATTTCAGCAGTATCTGAGCTGGAGAAATGGCTCAGTGGTTAAGAGCACTGCCTGCTCTTCCAACGGTCCTGAATTCAATTCCCAGCGACCACATGGTGGCTCACAACCATCTGTAATGTGGTGTGGTGCCCTCTTCTGGCCTGCATGCATATATGCAGACAGAATACTGAGAATACTGTATACATAATAAATAAATAAACCTTTTTTAAAAAAGAAGCTGAACCTTCAAACTGTACCTTTTGTGATTATTACTAACTTTTTGAAATTTATTAAATTGGAGTGTTTGACATGTAGCAAGTCCAAAGTCAAGTTATCTTGGGCCATATTCAGCCCTCTTATTAGCCATATATTGCTTTCCTCTGCGCTTGACATAACAGTTTTGTGAGAATTAGATAGATAATTTGAATGTACAAGCAGAATATTAGTTTCCCTTTAGAATGTATTAATTTAGCAGATCATTAGCTTCCACTAACCAAGATACCAAGGGTGTCATCAGATGGCATCTGAAGCCTCTACCTGAATTCTCTGCTATGTTGTAACCAATCTCTTCCGTGTTTCTACCAGTGCAATGTGACTGCCTTGACTTATGGCTTTCTTTGTTTTGTTCCTGCAAAAATTGCTTAAAAGTTCTAAGGTGATCTTTGAGGTGACCTAAATCTATGCTCCTGGGCATGATCACACATATTTTGATTTATTTGAATTATTATGGTTTAAGTATTACTATTTACTCTTCATTGTGGAAGCTGATCTGTAAGTAGGCTCACAAGGTGAGTGGGATTCAGAGAAGCTCCTCACTGCTGGTATTTAGGATGATCCCTGGGACACTGTCCTTGGACAAGACAAACTCAGTCTCTCAATTACCCAGCAATAGCTGTGACAGGACATGCACACAAAGATGGTCCATTGAAAGAAAGACAATTGACACAGTATCTTGTTTACATAAAAGCATCCTGAAAAAAAATCCAGATTTGTGGCATAAGGGAGCCTGGTCAAGTGGCAAACAGCCTGATCAAAGCACTTGCTGAAAACATGCAAATGAAGGATCAAGACTCTATAGATGAGTCTATGAGAATAGATGTTACGGTTTGTGGCCTCAGCCATTGTAGAACCCCTGTCCACCCCAGTGTAGATGCCTTCTAAAATTTTTCTGTTATTCAGGAAAGAAGTGGTGTTTTAAATTTTGAAATTAATCAAAGGTTAAAATTTGGTTTTAGGAATAGTAACAGACTGGTTCGGTTGTACATTGGTTGTAGGGATTCCTAACATGTAAGATTAGTTGGGTTCCTATGTTTGATCCCCAGCACAACAGCAACTACAACAACAGCAACTACAACAACAACAACAAGCAACCAGTCTAGCAGTCAATGCCTATAATACTAACACTAGCAAGGTGTAAATAAAAGCATCTATGTGTGAGTTCTTACTAGCCCAGGTTTCCTGTGACATTGTCTATAACTGGTAGTTGTAAATGTACACCTACCTCAAGCTAGATTTGCTTAGGAAGAACATTTCAGCTAGGAATTGTATAGATATGGTTGCTCTGTAAGTGTATCTGTGGCAGATCAACTTGATTGTTAGTTGAGATGGTAAGGAGAGTGTTGGTGGCACCATTTCATTAGACACAGGGTTCCACACTGTGTAAGAAGAGTCCCTGCGATCAATACTAGAGCTTCAGCCATACTAAGGAACTCCTCTGTTCCAAGGTGATAGCTGTGTCCCAGACACAGACATTAACTATTTGTCATCCTTGCTTTGTTTTTTTTGGGGGGGATCATTTTTTTTGGCAGGATTTGTCCTTCTGTTTTATCCCTTGTTCTATGGTCTCTAGAGTTTAACAAAGATCCCCACCTGTAAATGAGGAAGGGCAAAACCAAGTGGGATTGTCATTCTGGACAAAGGGAGGCAATTATCAATGTATTTTATATTTTCTATCATTTGCTTTGCTGGCTTCTTCAGGAAACTTTGCAAATTTAGGGAAAATATTTTTACATTTACTCAGGAAATAACATCATAGAAGGGCCACAAAGCTGGAACCCTTCCTGTTTCTCCCAGTCATTTGCTTTCTCTTATTTTACCTGCACACTAAAAGGTCTCATCTGTGCTAAGCCTGAGTTTAACATTGTAAGTTCAGTAGTCTGCATCTCTAAATGGGCTTCAGTTGGACTTAGTTTGAGGTTGAAAACATTGATTATCCTCTGGAGAAAAAACTAAAGGTGGTTCATGTCCTCATTGTTAATCATGAAAGACACAGACAGAAGCTAGTTAAACAGGCAGTAACACTTCCTGGTTGAAAACATACATTTGAGTGGACTAGTGGGAGGAAGGCAGTGTGCTATGCAGATGTCCTGTCCTGAGGTTAGTATGTGTGACAGGCTGCATTTGGAAATATCATACACATTTGTATTTCTTCATATGTGTCTCCTCAAATGTGCATCAAACCAGGAGTGTAATCAAGTGTCAATTGAAGTCATTCTACTTAAATGTGAGCACACGTGATATTCCTATAGGTTTGAGGGACCAGCCACTCCTTATCAGGAGTGTTTTGGTCGTCTTGACATTGTTCAGTTTCCAGTGACCAAACCTTTGGTGGGATTAATATCAGACTGCACATGGATAGACAATTTACACAGGCCAAATGACAAAACTCGTCTCACCCCAACAGGTGATTAATTTGCATCCCAATCTTCATCTAATGTGCATCAATGTTCCCTTCCATAAAAACTGAACAAAAACATCACCATAGAAAAATGAAAATGAAGGTAGACTCCTATGCCTAAGTAGGTGTTTGCAAATCTGTCCCACGCTACCGTCTCGCCAGCAAGAATGACGCAGGGCACTTAGGATCCTTCTGCAGAAAAGCTTTAATGCGTCTTGAGAGGGAGAGCATCAGCTTCCAAAGCGGAGACCCAGAATGAGGGAACCCAGCCCTTATAAAGGAAACAGTCCTCGCTTCTGACGTGTCACTCTTGGATTGGTCCACTGCCCATTATCCCAGATGATGCCTCGGAAGTAGGCAGGTACGCAGCAGTAGAGTTACCAAGCACATGCGCTGGGATTAAAGGCGTGTGCTACAACACCTTGAACTCACAGAGATCTGCCTTTCTCTGCCTCCCAGGCATTGGGACCAAAGGCGTGTACTACCACACCTTGAGGTCACAGAGGTCAATCTGCCTCTGCCTCCCAGGCATCAGGACTAAAGGCGTGTACCACTACACCTTGAGGTCACAGAGGTCAATCTCTACCTTTGTCCCTTGAAGCAATGGAGAATGTGGTTACGGCCCTCCACACAAATCCTATGTATTACTGCAGCTGTTACTAGATGTGAGATCATATATTTATTCTTTGCCACTGATAGCCATTATGGCTAACATAAATGAGAATAATGGGTTAATATAAGTTATAAGAGTTAACAAGAAGCCTGACCTAATGGACCAATCAGTTTATAACCTTATGGAGTCCTGTGTGTGATTTCTCTTTGGGATTTGCCGGCTGTAGGGTACCGGGCGGGAACAGATACCCCAACAAGCCGGCCCGTCATGTTACAGATAGCTGTAGCAAAATCCATAAAGGTGTAACATGGCATGCCTGTAGATTGTCTCTGCCCCTACTCTGAAAAACCTATGTAAGGAGCAAAGCCTCTATCCTGGGAGTTCTCAAACTTCATAATACTGCAACGCTTTGTTTCTCATGTGGTGGTCCCATAAACCATAAAATTATTTTTATTACTGCTTCATAATTGTCACTTGACTACTTTTATAAATCATAATATAAATATCTGATATTAGTCTGCTGTGAAAGTTCTGTTCAGCCAGCAGACAAGTCATGAACCACAGGCTGAGAAACACTGTTCTGTACCCTGACAATCCTCCTCTTTCTTAGTGATCTTACTAAGTTGTCCAGTGGCTTTTACAGCACAATCAGGACTGCAAGCACTTCCTCCAGAGGGGCTAATTATAGAGAGCAGGCGACCATGAGAAGGTTGAAGGACAGAGCTCAGCAACATACTGTGTCATTGAGGTTGAGTTCTAAGTGAAAGATGAAAATGTCAGACCTCAGAGATTGTTCTTCTGTAGTCCCGTGCAATATATGAGAGTTCTACCCTGAAATTGGAGTTGAACAGTGTTCTGACTTGGTTGGATGTTGGGGACCCTGGGGTCTCCTCCCTGAGAAATGTCCCTGGCATTTCTCATAAGAGAAATATTCATAAGAAATACCAATTACTTGGTCTCTAGGGTATTGTGTCAGCATGGTGGGCACTGCTATTCTGAAGCATAAGGGATGGTCCTGCCTTACCTTGGTGATGTAACAGGTCTATCGAGGGACTAATCATGAATATCTCCTGTTGTTTCATAAAATGTATCTAGGAAATTTTAAACTCAAGCTGCATATTAGAACATTCTGGAAACATTTAATATTTCAGATGCTGAAACCCATATCGGATCAAATAAAGAGACATGGATCTTAGATTTATCTCTGTTTCCCACATTATTCCAAGGAGAAAAGAGAAACCAGGTTGAGAATCATCAACCCCCTACCCCAACTTAATTGATAACTAA